GAACTGCAGACGTTTTTAGAAATGCATGCACTGTCTGGATCCTGTCAGTTAGATCCATGTCTCCACATTTCTCTGTGGAGCCATATGCCAGATCTTGCCCTCAACAGGAAGGGTTGTGCCATGCTGGAGCTGCACAGGCGATTTGCCTCCCTGACCCTTCCTCTCCCTGCTCCCACCAGCAACCATTGTCAGCCAAGCAGCTCCATGCCCTTAGTTGTTCTCTCAGCTCTTCATCGGGACCTTCTCCCCCAAAGCATCCAGCAGCTTGATTATAGATTTTAGGGGTTTGGCCCCATTCAGTAAAAGCCTCTGGCTCAGCGTGGGCAGCCAGCAAGGCCATCCAAGCCGGGCAGGCTGCTAGCGTGACCCCTCAGAGGTCCACGCCACCCCACCACAGCCCAGCACTAAACACATATCCCCAGCTGCAGCAGCCTTGTGTTCACTCACACAGCTGCCATTTCCGAGTATACTGGTATGTCCATAAATGAGAGAGATATTGTTTTGATTGGGATTTTAGCATTGCAGGCGATGAACAGTATAATACAAATGTGTGTTTGGGGAGACAAATTGTCCAATTTGTTGAGCTAATGAATTTAATTAGGATTTATTTGATTTAATTTATACTTGGTAAGACAGAGCCTGCATCCCCCTGGCAGCCGTTCTCAGCACAGCTGCACAATTCAACCTGTAATGCAGACAGATCTCACTCCTGAGGGCTGGACCACTGGCCAGAAGTTAAAGCAATATTTCAGCCGCTTGCCTCACACAAAGGAGCCAGGGGAGGCTGTTGCAGGTAAATGCTTAACAGCAGGAGCAGAGGGCTCTTTCAGAGCTAGCCTGATCCGGTAGCTGTCAGCCAGACAAACAACACATGGATCGTGGGCAGTGAGGGACAAGGGACTGGGGGTGTGTCTGTCACTTAAAGTCAGCCAAGCTATGTTGGATGTTTCCCCAAAAGGCAATATTGCACCACGTTTAGCAGTCTCCTGAGGAAAACTGCTTGGTCTGGCCAACATTATGCAAAAACAGTGACAATTCCTTCTTGCTGTATTAACACATGAACGGGCAGACTGAGGCTGAAGGTCCTCGTTTGTGCGTGCAGCCAGGCTGCTCCCGTCGCCCTCTGAAAATGGCTGGTGTCTCAGTGATGTGGGACCCACCTCCCTGTGTCTCAGTGCCCACTGCAATGGCCAGCCCTCCTCTGGTTCTGCCTGGCTTTGCCTCCCAGCAGGCTACTGGGATCTTGCTTCCTCTCCCTGCTGCTCTCATGCAGCACAGAAACGAGATATTTTCCCAGGTAGCTGACGTGGATGGAGTCCAGCCCAGAGCAGTAAGAAGGCTGGGATATTTAGGAAGCAGACCTGTTGGGAAAGGTTAAAGAAATTTGCTGTGGTTAGTCTAGAAAAAAGATGGGTGGGGAGATGGAGAGGGAGGAACAGGACAATATTTCTGATGTCTAAAGGTTGTTTGTAAAAGGGCACTGATCAGTTGAGCTGCTGGTCCATGATGTCATTGATCTAATTCCTCACAAAAAACAGCTTTAGGGTCAATACTTTCTTATCATAAATGTCATAATATTTAACTGCATTAAATTTATCTGATTAAACTCTATAGCACATAATCATTTTGGAGACAACGGAGCAAACCACATGAGGAGGTGGCCTGCTCTGTCAGCATGTCACAGGGCTTTTGCTGGCTGGAGCCCAACTGCTTCTAAATCCTGTCCAGCCACCCTCTAGGCTCTTCTGGCCTCCATCATCACTATACCCCAGCAACACCTAAGGGCCTCCCTAAACCACTTTCAACAGCTCTTTGTTAATAGGAATCCAGATTTTATTGATTTAGGAAAAAAAGGCATGTCAGCTTCTTCGATACCACACAGGCCTTTTTTAAGCTGGCCATCTTCCACATCCACCATGTATGTCCCTCTCCTGTCTGCTTCCTCCAGGTCTTCCTTTCCATATTGCAGGGAGGGGTTGATGTCTCAGAGCCAGAAGGTTCCTTGTCTTCAATGTCAGCAGTCTCCTCCTGCCCTTGGTGGCAACATGTGTGGTATCTCTCAGGGCTTAACCCTTTCCTCTAGAGAGACCCACACACTCAGGTAGGGAGGCCAAGGCAAGTGTGGCACATACAAAGCCTCCCATGGGAATGTGCTCCCTTCCATCACATATGCGTTTATGAAGGTTGCTTTAGTTACAGTTTTCCTGCCTCAGAGGTGGGGTACAGACAAGCTGATCACCCAAAATCCTTTCCATCCCATGATCTGTTCAAGGAGTTAGTCAGTAGGACCCCCTGGGAAACTGCTCTCGAGGACAAGGGAGCAGAAGAGAGCTGGCAAATCTTTAAGGACGCTTTCCATAGAGCGCAAGAGCTCTCCATCAGCAGGTGTAAGAAATCCGGAAAGAAAGGCAAGAGACTGGCATGGATGAGTCAAGACCTGCTGGTTAAACTGAAAAGCAAGAAGAAAATGCACAGGTAGTGGGAGCAGGGACCAGTATCCTGGGAGGAGTATAGAAACACTGCCCAGCTGTGCAGGGATGGGGTCAGGAAAGCCAAGGTGTGTCTGGAGCTGAACTTGGCAAGGGATGTAAAAAATAGTAAGAAGGGCTTCTATAGGTATGTCATCCAGAAAAAGAAGGTCAAAGAAAGCCTACCGCCCCTGATGAACACGACTGGCAAACTGGTAACGATGGACGAGGAGAAGGCTGAGGTACTCAACAACTTTTTTGCCTCAGTCTTCACTGGCAACCTCTCTTCCCACACCTCTCGAGTGGATGGGCCACAAGACGGGGACTGGGGAAGCAAAGTCCCTCCCACAGTAAGAGAAGACCAGGTTCGTGACCACCTGAGGAACCTGAACATACATAAGTCTATGTGACCTGATGAGATACATCACAGAGTCCTGAGGGAATTGGCTGATGTAATCGCCAAGCCACTCTCGGTGATATTTGAAAAGTCACAGCAGTCAGATGAAGTCACCGGTGACTGGAAAAAGGGAACCATTGCACCCATTTTTAAAAAGGGTAGAAAGGAGGACCCTGGGAACCACTGACCTGTCAGCCTCACCTCTGTGCCTAGGAAGATCATGGAACAGATCCTCCTGGAAGCTATGTTAAGGAACATGGAGGACAGGGAGGTGATTCAAGACAGCCAGCATGGCTTCACCAAGGGCAAGTCTTGCCTGGCCAACCTAGTGGCATGCTATGGTGGAGTGACTTCATCAGTGAGCACAGAAAGAGCTACAGATGTCATCTATCTGGACTTCTGTAACATCTTTGACACGATCCCCCGCAACATCCTTCTCTCTAAATTGGAGAGATAGGGATTTAATGGATGGACTGTTTGGTGGATTCAGAATTGGCTGGATGGTCACATCCAGAGGGTAGTGGTCAACAGCTCAAAGTCCAGTCGGAGATCAGTGATGAGTGGTGTCCCTCAGGGGTCTTTGTTGGGACCAGTACTGTTCAATATCTTCATCGACATAGTGGGATTGAGTGCACCCTTAGCAAGTTTGCAGATGGCACCAAGCTGAGTTGTTCAGTTGACACACCTGAGGGACAGGATGCCATTCAGAGAGACCTGGACAAGCTTGAGAAGTGGGCCTGTGTGAACCTCATGAGGTTCAACAAGGCCAAGTGCAAGGTCCTGCACCTGGTTCGTGGCAATCCCTGATATCAATACAGGCTGGGGGGTGAAGGGATAAAGAGCAGCCCTGCTGAGATGAACTTGGGGGTACTGGTGGATGAAAAGCTGGACATGAGCCAGCAATGTGCACTCGCAGCCCAGAAGGCCAACCGTATCCTGGGCTGCATCAAAAGAAACATGGCCAGCAGGTTGAGAGAGGTGATTCTGCCCCTCTACTCTGCTCTGGTGAGACCCCACCTGGAGTACTGTGTCCTGCTCTGGGGTTCTCAGTACAGAAAAGACATGGACCTGTTGGAGTGGGTCCAGAGGAGGCCATGAAAATGATCAGGGGGCTGGAGCACCTCTCCTAGAAGGACAGGCTGACAGAGTGGGGGTTTTAGCCTGGAGAAGAGAAGGCTCTGGGGAGACCTTATTGTGGCCTTTCAATACTTAAAGGGGTTTATAAGAAAGATGGGAACAGACTTTTTAGTAGGGCCTGTAGTGATAAGACAAGGGATAATGGTTTTAAACTAGAAGAGGGTAGATTTCAACTAGATATAAGGAAGAAAATTTTTACGATGAGGGTGGTGAAACACTGGAACAGGTTGCTCAGAGAGGTGGTAGATAGCCCATTCATTCAAGGTCAGGTTAGACAGGGCTCTGAGCAACCTGATCTAGTTGAAGCTGTCCCTGCTCATTGCAGGAGGGTTGGACCAGATGACCTTCAAAGGTCCCTTCCAACCCAAACTATTTTATGTTCTGCATGTGTAGGACATTTCTTTCTGCACTCATTACTGGCAGATAGGCCCAATGGGTGCAGAAGATGGTTTTTCAAAAGACCAGCCAGGTGGATTGGCTGTTCCACAGGGAACACGAGTGTCCCACTGCAGTCCAGCATGCCAAGGGCTGGAGGACAGAGAGCATGTGGATGCTTCTCCAGGGTGAGCAGGAGCTTCCCCATGATGTTTTCCCTTCTCCCGGGTGCTGCTGCTAATGTGCCTGTTGTGGTTTTGGTTTAGATTACATCAACGCACACAACCTCCACCGGCCTGCCACGGCGGGGCACACGGGAAAGAAAGAGAGCGGGTTGGTGGGTGGCTCTGCTGCCGGCACCGGAGCAGCCGGGGCTCCAGCCGCCAGGGCTTCGGACTCAGAGCTCATCAGCTTTTGCTACCTGCACATGCGAGAGCAGAGGAAGGAAAAAGAGAGCAGGACAGATATCAATGAAAACCTGATTTTTTTTGAGGAAACTCGTCCCAGGACCAAATCCGACCCCACTTCCAAAAGCTCTGGCCAAGGCTACAATGGGGCAGCTAACGAGTACGACCCAGATGGCCATGACCAAGAAAGGCACAGGAGCAGGGCCAGGGCACACACCATAGACACCCACCTGCGGAGTGACACCTCGCACTTCTACTGTGAGTCCTGCCAAGCCAAAATCAAGAGCCGTCTGGCCTCATGCAAGGGGGGCAAGCCTGGCAGCACCCGGGACAATATGGTGGACTTGATGTCACTTCCCCCTCCTGGGAGTGATGAGGAAGAAGACGAGACAACATCCCTGCTCCCCGCCATTGCCGCTCCTCCTCCCGGCTTCCGAGACAACAGCTCAGATGAGGACGACCCCAAGCGCCGGGCAGCTGCCCAGAGCCAGGAGCAGGGCCGGCACCTCTGTGGGATCCTCTACGACGAGATCCCTGTCACGCTGATAGACAACGTGCAACCACGGACAGTCCGAGACCATGCCCAAGAGCTGGATGATGCCCTGGTGTCCACCCTGCAGGCGCTGGAAGCCCTGGCTGCTTCAGAGGATTGTCCACATCCCCCACCACAGCAGACAGCAGGTATTTTAGTGGCTGTGACTTTCTTTTTTCTCTATAGCCTTTCTTTCCTGTGGTACATCCTTCCCTTTAGTCTCTTCCCATCCTATGTGTGATTGTGGAGCAGCTTCTAGAAAAAATTAAGTTGTGGCAACAGGCTGTAGCAGGAGCAGCCAAGCTGCTGCTCAGAAGATTTCTAAGAAGCTGAGATGGGACTCCTCTCCCTGACAGTGGCTGAAGGAGTCTCTTGGTTATCCCCTATCTACCCAGGTCCACATGCCACAATGCTGGGATAAGGCACTAACCAGTACTGTAAGCATGAGTTCCTCCTTGCTGTGACCCCCCTCAGCTGGTACCTTCGGCCCTCGGTCTTTGCAGTGTGTGAGCCCTTCACAGGGCAAACCTGCTGTCAGATGGATGTCTCTGGGACCAGACTGATGACAGCATGGTCCTTTGTCCATCTCCCCGCCTTGGCTGCCCTACTCACTATGGCAGAGTAGCTGTTGCCCGATTTTCCTTCTTTCTCCAGACAAGTCCCTGTAGCTGTGCCATTGCTAACACTGGAAAGCTTCCCAGGACTTTTTCCTGGGCCAAGAGCTCTTGCTGAATTGAGCTAGCAAGCCAGCTCAGTGCTGACAAGTGATCTTTCTTAAAAGCGTTAACCCTTAGTTGCAGGAAGTCACTAAAGTTTCTCTAATGGGATGCTGTGTCCTGCATTCCTGGGACTCTCCTGCCACATGGAGCTCCCCTCTTCTCCATGTAGCAGTGTGGTGTGAGTGTTGTCGTGGGGGTTTTTTTTGTGTCCCTCCTCAGGTCTTATTGTCTTGGCTGCCATCACTCCTGAGTCATCCTTGGATTCTGGCCATGAAACCAACTCTTCAGAGCTAACTGATGTCTCAGAGATGGTCTCTGCTATGAAGCAGCATCAGAATGCAGCCTACTTCCTTGCTCAACACATCAACAAAGAAAACCTCCTGACCAGAAAGGACTTGCCTTTCCGAATCCAGAGCTGTGCTGCCCAGGCTGTTCTCTCCTCACCCTACCCTCTCAGCTGCCAGGAGCCAAGCCCTTCGTTGAAGACAGCTTTCTCTCACCAAAACCCCAACCCTACCAATTGCAAGAGCAAACAGGAGCCGCAGCATGCTGAGCGGAGCTACACCTTGGCTGTCCAGCCGGTGCTGACCCCCCAGCTTAATGAGCAGAACAGGGGGGCTGCAGTGCCAGGCTCCGAATGCAAAGGTGCAGGCCACACAAAAGCTGCCTTTGAGGAATCTCTGCATGCCACAGCAGCCCCAAGCAGGGAGGAGGCACAGGATCTACAAGAGAAGATGCCCAAAGAGATCCAGATTAGCTCCAAGCTCCTCTTGGAACAAAAAAGTGCTGTAACTCCAGCCATCGTTTCAGCTCCTCTGCAGCAAGCGGCAAATGCAAAAGGCTCAGCTCCCCAAGTGGCAGCAGCCTCAAAAGAAGACAAGAACATGAATGGTACCAGCAGCTGTGCATCAGCCAGCAGCAAGCCTTTGAAACTTAAAGGAGGTCCACAAACTTCAGAGACATTATGCAACTGTCAGCAGCAGCAGCAACTCTCTCCGCAGCAGCACTGTGAAGTTTCTCCATGTCCTAAGGAAGCTCATGGCAGTAAGGCTGAAGCTTTCCACCTCACCTCAGCAGGTGAGGAAATGCTGCCCAATAAGACTTTTGCTTCTAAAAGCTACCAGCAAAAAGTGAGTAGAGATGCTCCAGGAAAAGCCACAAATGGAGAGCCAGGTCAGAAGGCAGGTGGGGAAGCCACGAGCCTTGTCTTTCAGAAACACACAGCTCCTTCAAACCAAGGACAGAAAATGCAACAGGAAAGTTCAGCCAAAAGCTTAAAAGCTGAGAGTGGCAATCTGCACTCTCCATCACCTGGTAGCACTTTCAGGAGCACCAGTGAGGAACCCAAAGGGCCAGTCCAGCTGGTGCCCAGATCCGAGAGCCTGCAGGTCAGCACTGTGCCTTCCAAAAAAGTAGAAAAAGTCCTGGAGGTGACCCAACAAGATGCTGATGTCCCAGCTAAACCCAAAGCTCCAAAAGCTCCCTTCAGGTTGAGGAACCTGTTCTCTGCCACATTTCCAACACGGCTGAAGAAGGAGACAGACGAGCGGCAGGCCCAGCTGCAGAAGGTGAAGCAGTATGAGCTGGAATTCCTTGAAGAGCTGCTCAAGCCAAAGAGCAAAGGTGACCTCCCACCACAGGAGTATCTGCACCCTCCTGCCCCTGGGCGCTGCAGCTGCCAGCTAAGGAGCAGTCCTGTGCAAAAAGTGCCAGGGATGTCCAGGGAGCAAAGGCGCAGCTGTGACTGCAAGCGGATTTGCAGGGGGGTGAGGCCACCCCCTAACCAGTTGGTGATGCCAGAACTGGAGAAGCGAGGGAGGGATAAAGTTACCGATGATCAGAAGCAGGCAGAAGCCATTAGGTTGACAAGCGTGAGCAGCCTTTCCAAAGGCAAGCGGATACGATCCACAAGTTTGGAGTCCAGAGACTACCGGTCAGACCCAGAGAACAGCGTGTCCTGTTTGACAACGTGCGCTTCCCAGGGGGAGTGCATGGGTGCTCCACACTACAGGAAGCTCTTGCGTCGCTACAGTGTCAGTGAAATAGATAAGACTGATAGAACATCCCTGTCCTCTGACATCTACCAGAACATCTATACAACTAAGCAGAAAGGCCCCCAGAAAGAGCCTGAGCCCAGCATCCTTTGTCCTGTTCTGAAGAGCAAAATCCAGGAAGCCTCTGGAGTGGCTGACCCCTCCTATGTCCAGATAGCACAGGAGAAAAAGAACCAGAAGGGGTCAGCAGTGTACTCTGTCCAGGAGGAGATGTATCCAAGTCCTGCTGAGCTGCGGGATGAAGACATGGAGGATGAGAAGTGCTGCTCTATCCGGTACTGCTTCTACTACAGGAAATGCGATGTTGCAGATGATGGCAGTGAGAAGGATGAGCTGTCCTATTCCATCCCCATGCAGATACTCCCAGGAATGAAGCTGGACAATCAGATGGTCCCAGTCATGAGCAGGACTCTTCAGGTCCTAGATGCAACAGCCTGCAGCAGTCCTAATGACAGTCAGACCCAGGAAATAGATTTAAGGACCTCCAGTTTTGAGGGGAGCTTGGCAAAGATCCACACCCTTCGAGGCCATGCCTACAGCTTTCCCAACGGGTTTCTGCAAGTGCAGCTGGACGCCAATGAGCTCCTGACTATCCTGAGGCAGTGTGTGGTGAGCCCTGATGTCCGGGACTGCAAACCCTACATCTCCCAGCTGTCTGAGTACAAGCAAGAGCTCGCCCTCAAGTTCAAGGAGTTTCGGGCATCCTGCCGCCGCATGGCAGCCGTTGACAAGGGTCCTACCCACATGCTCTCCGCCATCACGAGCAGGCTCCAAGTGCTAAGCAGCCTCATCGAGACGTTTGTGACGCTGGTGTACGTCGTGCGCTCGGAGTCCCAGCGCCAAGAGCTGCTGACAAAGGTGGAGGAAGTGGTGAGAAACTACACCTTCCTCCTGAAGGCTGCGGAGGAGTCCACGGCCAGAATGCTGAGCCACCAGCAGACGGTGGAGCAGCTCGCCCGCCAGTCAGCCACAGTTGCCACTGTCATGAGCACGCTTACACGCTCCCTAAAGACACTGATCAATAAGTAAGCCAGCTACGAAAACCAACAAACCAGTGTGTGCCGGGCCATGTGCTAGTGGTTCTCAAATCGCCTAGGTCGAATGAGGATGCATGTGTACAGGCCCACATTTACTGGGGTTTGCAGTAGCCAAGACACTCTTTTATCTCTGCAGAATGGATGGTTGTGTTGGTGGTGCTTTGAAGGGTAAATTCATGCCCTGTCACAGGCTGTGCAACCAGCTCATCGGGGGTCTCAAGCAGCTGCTCTGCTTGCTCTCCCATGCTGGCTTGTTGGTCATGGTACTTGGGAGGCACAGTCACCTCGTCTCCACGCTAGTTTGGTTTCGTGTGGTTCTGGGCCTCACTTGTACAAAGACCTGTCACAGTGTGCGGTGGGCCAGTGAGTTAGCAGGAACTGAGCTGAGATCTCCTGCCTTCACTTGGGCAGTCTGGAGCCAAACCAGTGTCTTGCCACGTAAACAGCTCTTCTGCCTCCAGGGTCTTCCTGGCCCACAAATGCAACGTAATTAGCAGCAGAAGGGACCTCTGGGATGCAGGTCCCTGCTGCTATGCTACAGCCTGGGAAGTAGTCCTTGCCCAGGCAGAATGCCGTAATTCTGGGGCAGAGCTAGGTCACCCTAGCTGGCTCTACTCTCACAGCTTAGGCACCAATGCCCTAGTCCTGAGCACAGATACTGCCTATGCGAAAGGCAAGTGCTTAATGCGTGCAAGTAGGGACGATCCAAGGAACTACAGGCCTGTCAGTCTAGCCTCAGTGCCAGGGAAGGTTATGGAGCAGATCATCTTGAGTGCCATCAGATGGCACGCACAGGACAACCAGGTGATCAGGCCCAGTCAGCATGGGTTTATGAAAGGCAGGTCCTGATTGACTAACCTGATTTCCTTTTGTGACAAGGTAACCGCTCAGTGGTTGAGGGAAGAGCCATGGATGTTGTCTACCTAGATTTCAGTAAAGCCTTTGACACTGTTTCCCACAGCATTCTCCTGGAGAAATTGCTCATGGCTTGGATGGGCATACTCTTTGCTGGGTAAAAAACTGGCTGGATGGCTGGGCCCAAAGAGTTGTGGTGAATGGAGTTAAATACAGTTGGTGGCCTTTCACAGGTGGTGTTCCCCAGGACTCAATATTTGGGTCAGCTCTGTTTAAGATCTTCATCAATGATCTGGATGAGGGGATCGAGTGCACCTTCAGAAGTTTGCAGACATCACCAAGTTGGGCAGGAGTGTTGATCTGCTTGAGGGTAGGAAGACTCTTAACAGAGGGGTCTGGACAGGCTGGATCGATGAG